AGGAACCAGAAGTCCTTTGAAGTAAGCCGGGCCTGCTGGAATTCCAGCGCTCCTACTTAGAGAACTTGGCCATGTTAATAGGCTGAGTTTGAACACATCAAATTGGGGCAGTAATGCCACCCTTGAAGGACTGTTGCTGAGAAACAGAGATAATCAGTGAACAGGGCCTAACGTGAGCATCAGGCACAGGGAGGCAGGCAGTGAAAGCAGGTCTTCCTGCTACGATTATGAACAAATATTTATGGACTAAGTTGTAATATCCTGATATAATGTGGATTATAATTCTTAAGACATACATATAATCTATATATAATTTTGCCTGTTTAGAAGTATGACATATGGAGCAGGTTACTCCCAGACAGACATGGTGCAGATTTAAAGCATGAATCATGTCAGTACAATCTTCAGTAAATTAATGATGCTACACCCATGACATACTCTATAAAGAGGTCAGCACTCCGGGGCGTCCACACCTGACCTTGAGAACAGATTTTAGAGGCTTTCAGCCGTGCTTGCCCGCAGCTGTCAAGGCCTCGACCTTGGTGTGAAGCAGTTTTAAGCTTAGTAAATTTTAAGCTTAGGACGGGTCCACGTAAGAAACAGCCATTTTTCATGCCTTGGTGTTTTTTGAAATCTGATATTGAGGATGTTACTTCTGTGTATTACCCTGTATTTTAAAATGCTTTGGACATAAGGTCAGAAGACTAATTTTTCTGCATAACTAACATTCTTCTGTATTAGGTCTGGCTTCCTAGAATCGGAGACTGGGATAAGGGTCTTGTGAAAGTGATGCATTGCGGAGAGCTGAAGCTAAGGGGAGTGAGGGAAGCTGGAGAAGGCGGGATCAGCTGAGTGAGGAGATTGTTTCACTTGTAACCAGCTTTGGCCTGCTCCCACGGGGTCGAAGGATATGGTCTGAAGGGGAGCTCTGGGGTGCAGATGGCCCCACAGAGTTGGTCCTCCCTTGAGGGAAGGGAGCAGTGTTGTTCCCCTGTCAGCCTCCTGGCCACCTCCTAGGGCCAGTGGTGCCCTAACCCCCCAGCAGAGGGAGCACCAGATCTGTGAGCCGTGAGCACCCAGCACTCACAACAAGGGAGAGTGGGGGGCGGGCGCGGGGGGCACCGCCAGCAGCCTTTGTAGATTTCTCCCAGTAGACGAAGCTGTCAGATTCCTCACGGGGCCTTCTCTGACTGGGTTGCTCGGGAAGTTCTAAACTAAGTTTCATATTTAATTGCTTTACCAGCCTTCAACCAGGATTATTTAATAGCATTCTCTGTCTCTTCCATTTCTTTATAACTAGTCTTACAGCTTTACCTTTGGTTTTCTTATTTATTGTGCCAGCAGTTTTATTGTTAAGTTGCCTCAAACTCTTTTTGAAAGCGGGCAAGTCTAAAAGGAAAAATAAATATGTAAACTAAAAACCAGTTTTATGATTATATACCAGAGTCATCCTCCTTAAAAATCCGATAAAATAAGTGTTAAATGGAGATAAGAGTATTTACTATTATAATCTGATTTAACAATAGTTACGCTTTCATATGTACCCAAGAATAAAATAAGCAATAAGTATAAATCCAAGGAAGGGAGAAATAAAATTGCATTTTTGCAGGTGACGCTTTTTTTTATATGTACAAAGCGCAAGGTAATGAAGAAAATTATTGGAGGTAAGGAAGAGATGTGCAGAAGGGCTCTCTGCAGAATTATAGGCTGTGATAGGAATCCTCAAAAGTCAGTGAAGTTGGCCGCCTCTCCCGCTCCCTCGTCTTTGCAGACGGCCCGCACTCTGTCTGTGGAGTGTGTATCCACTTTTATTTTAACCTCAGCACCTGACCCCCACCCCTCGTGGCCTTTCTCTTGCCTTCTGAAACAGCCTACGTTCTATGCAGTATGTATCTCTCTAAATAAATCTACCTCTACTCAAAAAAAAAAAGTTAATATATTCTCAAGTCATATGACTAAAAATATAGTGAGAAAAGAGCAATAGTGAGAAATACTGAATCTGTGTCCAAAATTGAACTTAATTCTGTCTGCCTCCCGCAGGCCTGCTCCTCCCCCCGTAGTCAGTACACTGACTGGTGATGTCTTCCTCTATCCAGGCAGACAAGTGTAAACCTGGAGGAGACCTTAAGTTCCCCCTTAGCTTTACCCTCACAGCTGGTTACCAGTTACCAATTTCTGATAGTCACCTGCATGCATTTTAGATACCGATTCTTTTACCGTTTTCCTGTCTTAAGTCTTCAAGAGTTTTGTCAGAATTACTAGATGATTTTTTCAGTAATATACACACTATATATAAATATGTATACATACATACACTATATATAGTTAGGCATATCTGCTCCATAGGTAAAATAAGCATATTCTGGGGGTTTTTGGTGTTTCGTTCTTTTGGGTCTTGTTTTGTTAACTTTTTAATCAAAGAAAAACAAATGTTTAAATATGTTTAAATAGATTAGACCAGGGTTTCTCAGCCTGATCACTGGGGACACTTCAGGCCAGGGAATTCTTTGCTGCTGGGCTACCCTGCGCGTCGCTGCCCGCTTGATCCCTGTACCCCGTTGTGACAACCAGACATGCCTGCGGGCCGAACTCCCCGAGTTGAAAGCCAGTGGAGCAGACTGGGAGCTCTTGGGCAGCGCTCATCACGTGCTTACCACGCGCCGGCCAGTCCTCACAGCGCCTCTGTGAACAGGTGCTCTTTGTGTCCTCGTTTTCACCAGTAAACCAGTGCCTCAGTTAAGTAGTGTGCCCTGAGTAAGCTTGCGCCCAGGTGGTTTAGCCCTGGAGCCCGGTTCCCTCAGGCTGAGTCCCATCTCCTGCTGTGTGACCTCGGGCAAGTCGGGTAACTTAGTGAACCTTTCTCTGCCTCAGTTACCTCTAAGCTACAAAGACTAGTACCAGCCTCCTAGACTCACTGTGAGGTTTAAATCAGTCAGTGTATGCAAAGGAATTTACATCAGGACTGGCGTTCCAGAGTAGGCACTTACAGTGGTCAGTCACTGATACCTCGTGTCCAGTCTCGTTGGAGATGCAATCACGTAAGTTAATAATTTGTTTACATAGAGCCTGCTTTACGAGTACGGAGATGGAGGCAGTGGACTTCTTGAGGGAGTCACGACTGAGTTCACAGCGAAGGCCCCAGTCCAGCCGTAAAGGGTGAGCGGTGGCCTGGGCAGGCATGGGGTGAGGTGGAGGGTTCGGTGGACGAGCACAGCAGAGGTGGGTCCTGGAGGATGGAGGGGCTTCGCACCATTTCATCCTCACCGTGTCCAGTCTGGTGGAAGTGGGCCATTAGCTCCTGGGAAATGGCTGCTTTTCTGAGAGTGTGAAACATTCCTGTATCCACTTAGGAAGAAAATATTATAGAGCTAAACAAAGATCATTTTTTGAAGTATCTGTAGAATTACGTAGAATATATAAAGTGTATAAAGTGAACTTCTAATATAGAACTATAGGATACGTAGACTGCACATAAAGCCAGTCACATTAAACAAATGAGAGAACCATTGTAGGTTTCAGAGCAGCCCTGTCACATTCATTTGCATGAAAGTATTTTTATCAGTTATTTTTAAGATGACGTTTGCTTAGAAAGTAATCATGTGACCACTCTAAAGGAATACGTCCTTTAAATACCTCCCTAATTCCCATATGAACTCGTACCTTTATTTTAGCTATTCCACTAATGTCCAGTGATGCTGCTGCAGGGGAGAATGATCTACCGAATGAAACGGGTGTAAGATGCTTTAGCCTTCGCTCCTCTATGCACAGTTCAGAATTATTTGCTCACATAAAAGATAACTTTCCACTCCCTGAGTTATTAGTGTATAATGAAGTAGTCTTTTCCCTCTTTGCCGTTGTGCTGTGAACGGTAACTAAGCTTAAATTAACAAATTATTAGAAACAACAGAGTGCAGTGCTCCCTTTGCACATTAGAAAATCTAGTTTTTACTTTGTTGTTAAAATATTTGAATTATGTATCATAAGATAATTAAACTTATATTTTAAAGCATCCTTTATTTAAAAATTATTTCACATCCATCAACTTATTGAAGCAACTTATTTATAAAAACATTTTTGTTAATATGAGTCAAACGAAAAAAAATGACAACTTAAAAGTAACCTCTGTCATCCAAATACTAGTCAATGAGATATTAACTGATGGGGTAAATCAAAAATGATAGGGTGAAGTTCATTTATCTGGAGAACCCTCTTGTTAGCATCAGAAGAGGACAGTTCTTAAGTATTTTAAAACAAACTTTTCTTGTTTTCTTTTACCTTGTACTTGATGCTTTTAAAGGTCCTAAAGATTTCAGTTTGGGTTTGGTTTGGTTTTGCTTTGCTGTGGTAGCATTTACCAATTTCTTTTATTTCTGCCTGATTTTTGAATGCTGTAATGTCGGCTTTCACAAATGTATGGAGATATTTTTTCCAAAATGTAAAAAGAACCAGGGAAGTCACAGTAGGTGGGGACTTGGGGTGGCTGGTTTGGGCAACATCTGAAAGAGGTGGCCAGCTCTCCTGTCCCCAACGTGCCGTCATACAGCAAGGCTTGGAAACACAAGCAAGTTCCTGTGGTGATGCCACACAGACAGCAAGAACACACGGCATCCTGGATTGACACCAGGACAAGGTGCTTTTTATACTTGGCAATTTAGTTCTTTTATAAAATCCATTTAAGTGCCAGTTAGGAAGATGTATCAACAGTTTACCTTAAGAAGGGAAAAAAAGCCATCAATTCATTGCCTTATTACTATAATCAGAACCTCTTTCCATTATAAACCTTTAGGTAAATAAAACATGACAATGATCATAGAAAAATAATCTAAGACAGATACAATTGCACACAATAATTTGTTGGCATTTGGAACAATTTCATCATTTTGAAAGTATTTTACATTCTTTGTAGAGAAAGTTAAGCACAATTCTGGTAATTTTTTCTTTTAATCTAAAAGACCAGAGTCACAGCAGGCACCTGAAAGTTCCACGTGCATCACAGTTATTTACACATAATCCTTTAGATTGTGTGCTGAGTCGCCCTCCAGCTGCGTGGTGGAGACATGCTGCCGCTTGGATGGGTAGAGCAAAGCTTCTGAATTCTTTATACGGGATGTGCAAAAAATCATGCCAGAGATAAACAGCAGCAGGGCCGAAATGAATCCAATGTAGACAGCGCCCCCGGGTTCGTGTTTGTTGCTTTCCGGAACTGTCAGATCCAGGAAGTTTGCTATGATCTCCTTTGTGTACCACACTGTCGGGATTAAACCAGAGATCCCTGCAGCCACGAAACAGACTCCTCCCGCAAAACAAGCATGGCTCTTGGTTTCCCTGTCCCCTCCTAAGCGCGTACATTTCATCCCTACTGTGGAAGTACAGATCCCCACAGCCGACAGAACGCACGCCAGGACCATGGTGGCCCGTGCAGCCTGCACGTGGGTGGGGAGGGACAAGACAGAGTACTGCAAGGTGCAGCTGAACATCCCGGTGCTGTACCACGTGCAGTCCATCCACAGCCCTTGCAGCTGCACGATGGCTGTGATGATGCTGGAGCCCGCGTCCACACGCACCTTCCAGCTGGGCAGCAGAGTGGCCGTGAGTATGCCAGAGGTCCCCGATAAGGCCAGGACGAAAGCAAGGAGCTGGAGACCTGCTGAGGCCATGCTGTTGTGTTATCGTCGTCGTCCTAGGAAATCCTGGTGCTTAATAATGAGGGCTCTTGGTCAAAATTGTAGCTACTTCTGTACAGGAGAGAGCCAAGTAACAGAAGTCTGGGGGAAGAAGAAATCAGGACTGAAAGAAAGAAAGAAGAAACAAACAGACCTTTGTGTCCGTGGGAGCTGAGAACACATCTGAATGGGCCCGGGCAGCGGGTGAGGACACTGCCTCCCAGAAGGACAGTGAACCTCAGGCCCCCAGAGGCTGCTGCTGAGTGACTTCGGTTGGGTGATGCTTGATACACGGTCTGAAGGAAAGGGCTGTCCACTTTGTTCTTTTATTTAAAATTTAAATTCTGCTGAAGTTCTCTGTAAGGTAGGCGTGTACCTTGTTGGAAGATTTAGATATACCGAATTCCAGCTATAGGATATCTGATAAAGAATTTTAATAGTATTACAGATTTTTAAAACCTTTTTATTTCTAATTAAAATACTCTATAGGTAATGAGGCAGAATAGTTTGAGCCTACCTGTTAAAAAATGATTTATAAATATACATTAGAAAAGGTTTAATATTTCAAAAAATGATTTTATTAGAAAAAATTCACCCACCATGTGGCCCAGGTGAATTGTTTAAGGAGAGGCGAGTCGTGGAAAGAAATCAAAGTCACTGGCATGATTATCTCTGATTTCCAGTTTGCAGAATCCTTACCTAGGTGAGGAGTTGGGTCCCTTCTGGTACAAAGTACTCAAAACTGAAACAATGAAGCCACTGTCTTTTGCTTATGAGAATGTGAGCTCCTTTCTAGCTGGGACCAAAATCATTACCTGACCCAAATGAAGTAGTCTGCTGCAAAACCGGTTATTCTGAATGATTCAGAGGTAGCGACATAGAATCTTGAAAGTGTGTACCAGAAATAACCACACCATTAGTTGTATGTGAGAGAGCACCAAAAATAATTTATGCTCGTTTCCTTCCTCCCTCCCTTCCTATAAGAAGAGGGGAAAGAGAGCACGTCCTTTGTGGCTCTCTGTGTTTTAGTCTGGCAGGACTTACGTCGCCTTTCAGGAAAATGTAATGGTTTCCAAAATACAGCAATAGTGGCTTTTTTGTGTTTCTGAATTAACTTTTGAATGAGGTATTAGAATTCATATACATTTCAAAAAAGACAGTATGAGCTGGAATCAAAAGCACTAGGGTCAAATCTTAGCTTTCTGGAACCCCTCCGTGCCTCAGTATCCTCTTCTGGAAAATGGGGAGGATTATAGTTTGTACACCATGGAGCTGAGTACGTGAATGTAGTTTAAAGGTTTAGAACAGTATCTGACCCATAGAAAGTACTCAGTAAATTACAATTGACATTGTTATTTGTATTTTCAAAATTTATTTTATATCATGAGACACTTGATACTTAATGACATTTGGATCTTTTTCTTTTCTTCTCTCCCTTCCTCAGTCCGATTTCATTTATTTTCATAGAATCTTAGAGTTGAAAGAAACTGTTGCTATAGCGTTGGCCATGCCCATTGTTTCAGATGAGGATGTGTAGGTGGTAAGTCACCCCATGCCACACCAGTCTCAGCAGCAGATGGGCGGTGCCCCGATCTTCCCCGTCTCTTCCCACCTCACTCCACCCTGCACCTTTTCTCCCTTTCCCAGTAATTTGTAATTCCTGGCGAAATCCTCCTTTGGGAAGCAGGGGGAAATGCTAGATCCATAGGCAAAAAGCACCTTTCACTGTCATCTTCATGCACTCCCTTTCTCACCAAGGGGAAAAGAGAAAAAGATGACTCCAGAGGGCAAACAGACGGCTTAGCTTCAGAGACCCTCCAGGGGCTGATGCCTGGCTTTTGTGAATATCTGAAGTGATATGAATCCATGCCTCTATTACATTTACTTACTACAGTTAAATAGTTTAATATAACATTGATGTCCTAAGGGGTAAGTTCTGGGCTGTATGAATTCCATTGCTCTATTTTTGTTCATAATCTTAAATTGTAAATTCTGCAGCTCCAGGAGATTGACCTGAGATTTTGAAAGTTTTAAGAGGCAGTTTCACCATAAGCATCAGGGCGCTTAGGCTCTGCCTGCCATCGTACGGGTTTTTTTTTTTTCCTTCTGTTTCCCAAATATCTTTTCACAGCTGAGCCCAAAAATAGAACAAAAGTTTCACAGATTAAAAAAAAAAAAAGTGAAGCACATGTTTATAGCTTCGTAATAGCTGTTTTCAGGTTTGGGTTTTAACATTTTAGACTCCAGCCAGCTCACTAAATTACTGCCTACCCGGACCATTTTCGGCTTAGGTTTTTCTTCAAGAGCAAGCTTGCTGTCAGCATTCCCCAAGAGCATCGCATTTCTTTCTTTTCTTTTTCTTCGGTTGAGTAACCTCTATGTGTTGATCAGTCTATGCTCAGCTTCCCAATTACAGCTCTTTTCTTCCCATTAACCAATACATTTTATAAATTCCAGTGTAATTCAGACTTGCAAACAGCCTGTTCATCTTAATTAACAGGTGCTGGCAGTGATAAATTACAGACGACCAGAATCAGCATAAACAATAGGACACTGCGTTCAGTTAGTCTTACTATGGAATACTGGGCTTGTTTTAAATGCTTTCTGCATAGAGAACATGCAGAAAGAATTTGTTCTCTAAAATGAAGGTCACTGTTTTGTTCCTTTTGTAAAAGCATACTGGCATCTTAGCTATCTTGCTGTGGAATCTTTTTTTTTTTTCTCCTGCAGCCACAAGCATGGTACAGTTTGTGGCCTGCTCTGTCAAATTTCTATCTCATAGAGAATAAAGGCGTACTTTGTTTCAGTGGTGGTGGTGGTGGTTGTGAAATAGTGTGAAAGTAAGCAAAAAGCAGAGGGGTCTCAAGTAAAAAAACTTAGTTCTAAGTAGAGAACTCTCATGGTTCCAAAACATGTTACCTATAGAGGAGAACCAATAATGTTACATTTCTGAGCTGTTTCCGAAAGAAATTCTGAACTGGATTTCATTAAACTGTAAAGTCAGTTTTCCAGACAAGATTTATTTATATCAAATCTAATACTTAAAAACAGATTCACAACCTATAATTCAAGCTAAGTTACACTTGAGGGTCTATCTGTAGGTCTTGAAGCATTAGAGCAGCTTCCCGTTTTCCATACCTTTAGTCGGTGGCCTTCAGTGTCTAACTCTCTTCTGTCAGTTATCTTCAAATGAAGCCCAAAAAGATACAATGAAGAGAAACCACGCACATGAGGCTCAGTTCACAGCTTCTGATTATTAGTGATAAAGCTCCAAGTTCACTTGCAAATAGCTAATAAAGAGCAGCATGGAAATCTGAGAGTGAAAACTGCTGATGGTGCAGGAAGATAAATGCCGGGTTCTCCATCTCATTTTTTGAGCTGTAGGGGAATTAAGAAAGGAGAGGCGGGGCAGGGAGGGAGTTGTTGTTACAACAGGGTTTGTCGAAACCTGAAAGCTGAAAATGCTGTTGTGTCACTGTGTACAGAGGAGGAATTATTTCGGTGCTCACAAAAAGGCTTTCTTTCCTTTTAATACTATGTTTGGGGCCATAGTTATAATTTATTTTTGAATCTTTATCTTTGGAAGTTACAGTTTATTATTTTATCTCCCCAATGAAATTAAAGAGTGTGGCCTGAAATATTTTTAACTAGATTGTGCTTTGCAGATGATAGTTGAGGCTGTCTTTTTATTCTAGGTGCTTCTGACTTATCTGAAATCAAGATTCACAAAATTGGTTAGTTTCAAAATAAACATTCAAAAGACGGTTTTTTATATATATTTTGATAAAAGTAAAAAGAAAACCCAGCAACAGCTGTTGACTGGAATCTGATCAGTAAACCTGCAAGTATTTAGGGGAGTTTCCCGAGTTTTCTTCTATTATTCTTTCTGGTGAGAAGGATTTCTGGAGTATAACTTGATAAATTAGAACTTATAGAAAATGTTGTGAAGAAACTACACAGGAATAACGTGACGAAACACATTAGATGATACCGAAGTCAAGCATTGAGGCTCTAGACCATGAACAGCGGTACAGACATATTTCATCTTCCCCACTTTGGGTTCTCTTTTTCTTCCTCAGGAATTTTAATTCTATGAGCTATTCATTCATAATCACTATAGAGAAAGGAAGATACTTTTGCAACTGGGGTGAAATGTTTGAATTTTACACCTGCTGATAGCCGTGTCAGGTGTTAGCCATTTCTTTAAAAGCATGTTAGATATTAGCCATTTCGTTAAAATAATAAGATGCATGTTTCAGTTATGTGGATTGTT